CCCAGAGATGCCCCCAAACCTGGCAGGCTGCTCTGCCCATGGCCTGCATCTACCATGGCTCTGGCTGGAAGTCACTTGATGACTGGTAGTCCCCTCCTTCAGCAGCAGCATAGCACATAAAAAGCCTGACGCATCAGTCGAAAGCATCTAGTTCAGCATCTTGTTCTCACAGTGTCCCACCAGATGTCCAAAAGGGAGACCCGCAAGCCAGACCCCATCGCAACAGCACTCCCCCTCCCTGTGGTTTCCAACTGGTATTCAGAAGCATTACTGCCTCAGTTCTCAGCCAGTGTGGTGTAGTGGTTAAGAGCAGTAGTCTTGTAATCTGGTGAACCAGGTTCGCTTCTCCGCTCCTCCACATGCAGCTGCTGGGTGACCTTGGGCTAGTCACACTTCTCTGAAGTCTCTCAGCCTCACTCACCTCACAGAATGTTTGTTGTGGGGGAGGAAGGGAAAGGAGAATGTTAGCCGCTTTGAGACTCCTTCAGGGAGTGATAAAGCGGGATATCAAATCCAATATCATCATCATCATCTGTGGCTCCTGGAAGCTGTCAGCCTGAGACAGAGGCCCCACACCTGAGACGAGGCGGCTAAACCAGGTGAGGGTACCCAGTGGGTCTCGAACCTTTGGTGAGTTAGGGACTTCCCCTGCATGTGATCACAGGCTGCTGCCAGCGGTCAAGAAGGAGGTTTCTGCATGTGCTTTAGAAGGAAGTGAGAGGCAGGTGAAGCTCATCAGCCTGGGGAGGTAGCTCATTTAGGAGAAGGAAAACTCTGGTCCTAAGCCTCTGCTGCCTTGAGGGATATCTTTGGGAGAAGGAATGGCTAAACCCTACACAGATTTGGAGTGGAGTCTCTAAGATGGTTGGATGCATGCTTCCTTCCAGCAACTCCTGCAGCCAAGCTGGTGCCAAACGTCTCGGTCTCCTTCCCTTTGGACCACATCAGCGAGGCCAAGAGGGTGGGGGGTCTTCTAAGCAGCCCAGGACCTCCACACACATTGCCCAGGCTTGCACCCCAAAGAGGTTACTTCCTTGCTACTAACATTTGACTTCACCTCTGGAGGTGCACTCCATTGCCTCTCCAGACAAATGCAAACAACTGCCTCGGACTGCGGAGGCCGAGCGTAGCCATCTTGGCTAGCAGGAGCCAGCCACCGTGTCTAGTAGCCATGTACAGCCCTCTCTTCCATGAATGTGCCTGATCCTCCTCTTTTCAAGCAGCAGCGCCCCGCGTCTTTTCCCGCTGGCAGGTCGAGCCAGCCAGTTCCAGGCGCAGACGCCGCTGCCTGCTGGCTGGAGCCGGGGCGCTGGGGATGCTGATGCTGCGGCTGTTCCCCGAGAGGCGCCTGCGCTCCGGCTGCAATTTCCTTGATACGCATCGGCGGCGGCGGCACCGCTCCTCCGTCTGTTGCGAGGCGGAGGCGTCTCGCGGCCATCCCTCGCTCGGCTTTGCCCTCGGCGGCCTGATCCCGTGCGATTGTCGCGGGTTAGGACGGAGGCGGAGGGAAGATCTGCACCCACGCCGACTAACTGATCAAAGCGCATCCTCCATCCCGGCTTAAAGTGGGAGAAGTTGGCTCTGAGCTTAGCAGGGAGAGGGCGACTCAGAAACACAAGAAAACGAGGCTTCCATTAAAAACGATCTGCTCACCCACCCAGGTCATGCCAATGATGGGGAGCTGCCTGTGTTGTGCCCCCTTCACATGTTGCTGTCACCCCACCCAGCTCCCATCAGCCTCACGCAGCTTGGCATGAGCATAATGGGGGAGTAAAGTAAAGGTAAAGGGACTCCTGACCATTAGGTCCAGTTGTGGCCGACTCTGGGGTTGCGGTGCTCATCTCGCTTTATTGGCCAAGGGAGCCGGTGTACAACTTCCGGGTCATGTGGCCAACATGACTAAACCACTTCTGGCGAACCAGAGCAGTGCATGGAAACGCCGTTTACCTTCCCGCCAGAGCGGTACCTATTTATCTACTTGCACTGGCGTGGTTTTGAACTGCTAGGTTGGCAGGAGCAGGGACCGAGCAACGGGAGCTCACCCCAACGCGGGGATTCGAACCACCGACCTTCTGATCTGCAAGTCCTAGGCTCTGTGGTTTAACACACAGCGCCACCCGTGTCCCTTAATGGGGGAGTAGCTGCCCCCTAAAATCAAGCAAAAACAAACAAACAAAGCTAACTGACCAATTACGTCACTGGTAACTCGGTTCTGTGCCCCCCCCAACATAAAGCCTGCCCTTCCTAAAATAAATCTTGACTACGCCCATGCAGCCTGGCTAGCCTTCTGTGATGATGCTGGGAGATGGAATCCTGCAACATCTGGAGGGTATACAGATGTTCCTAGCTGCTGCTTGATGCTGAGCACATCTCAGCACCCGTCCCACCCCCCACCCCATCCCCCCATCAGCCCCTTGTCTCCCTGGCATTGAGGCTGCCTGTTTCTTTGCACATCAGCATAAACTGGATTGCTGGTAGTACATGTCAAAAGGATCTAAGGGTCTTAGCAGACCACGAGCTTAACATGAGTCAACAGCGTGATTCAGCAGGGAAAAGAAGGCTATTCTAGACTGCATCAAGAGAGGGACAGTTTCCCAATCAAGGGAAGTAATAGGCCTGTTCTGTTCTGCCTTGCTCAGACAACACCTGGAGTGCTGCTGGCACCATTCTGGGCGGCACCATTTAAGATGGATATGGACAAGTTGGAATGTGGGCAGAGGTGGGTGACCAAGATGACCAAGGGTCTGGAAACTACTTGGTCGGTTGTGCAAAAATGTGGCATGCCCACATCCGATGCTCCTCTCAGCTTATTACACAACCATGAGTCACTGATGAAGTGAGCATAACTGTTCGGAAAGTATTAGCAACAAGGTCAGGAGGATCAAAGCATTGAGAAGGTATAACCCACATTTCAGGTCTTTGAGATGTTTCCAGAAAGTACTCAGGTCATATGCTATCTGCCTCCCACCTACCCCCCTCAACTTCCCAAGTATCGGCTGAGGCAAGCTGGAAATAGATGTGCTTTGGAAACCCAAAAATATATCGCACTGAGTCACGTTTGGTGAATCAAGGTATGCAAAGTAGTATTTGGATTTCTCCCCCCTGAACAATGCTCGGAAATGCATTGGCTCAGGAATCCAACTCTTTCCCTCCTTATTCCTCTCTTTCCTCCCTCCCTCTCTCCTCTGTCAATCTGCAGCATGGAAGCCCTTTGGGGCAGAGACTTGGTTTTTCTCATGTTATTTGAAGTCAATGGATGGTGTTCTTGCTGTTCTGAACAGCACCCACCACTCTGAACCTGATCCAGCCCCTGTGCTAAGGAGGCTCAGCAAGGGATTCCCAGGCAGAATTGCTGCACCTGCAAAGGGCCCCAAGATTCTCTGGTTGTTCCTCTGGGGTGACTCCCCAGCAATGATGCCATTGATACAAGATCCCAGGAGATCTTTCCTTTGTCTTCATTTCTTTGTCAGATCATCCACTTGCAATATTCCAACAGCCACGCTACATTCCTCCATGCAGCCTCTTCGTGTGCCATATCTATGCTTTCAGATTCTTTACGGGAAAATTGCCCACCAGTAACACACAGCCAAAGGGTCACTGACAAGGGCAGCTGCTCTGCTGCCTCAGGCGGACAACAGAAAAACCACCTGGCTGGAAGCAAGAGGAAGCCTGGAACTTGGCCGCCTCCAAGGGGAAGCCGGCCGGACATCTGTCTCTGCTTCTTCTCCCACACATTTACAAATGTTCTGCAAGCCTATCGTTTGCTTCCTAGGGAGAGAAAATCCATCACACTCACAAGGAGCTGAAACGAACTTAACCATTTTAACAGGTTGCTTCTTACAGAGGCCTTTTCCCATCTCTCAGCATTTTTATGTGTCAGAAATCGTGCTGGTGGTGGTGGGGGGGAAATCTGTGTCTGTAAGGGATGGCGGTCATAGGGATGCTTCATGTTTTACGTCTTTCATGTCGGCCTTCCCCAACCGTGTGCCCTCCAGATGTTTAGGACAACAGCTGCCACCAGACCCAGATGCCATGGCAGTTTTGGGGAGGAATAAGGGCCTCTCACTTTTAGGGCTGATGATAGCTGTCATTGTCCAAAACATCTAGAAGGCATAATATTGGCTGTTTTACGACATTTCTTGTTTTACATGCCTCTTATTACAGAATCCTAGAACTGCAGAGTTGGAAGGGACCTTGAGGATCATCTAGGGTTTCCCAAACGTGGGTCTCCAGCTGCTTTTAGCCTACAACTCCCATCATCCCTAGCTAGTAGGACCAGTGGTCAGGGATGATAGGGGTTGTAGTCCAAAAACAGCTGGAGACTCAAGTTTGGGATACTAGTCCAATCCCCCTGCAATGCAGGAATATATGCAGCTGCCCCATTTGGGGATCAAAGCTGCAACCTTGGTGTTATCAGCACCATGCTCTAACCAGCTGAGCTATCCAGTTGGTTATTATAATAATCCTCTTCATTTTAACTGCCTTCTCCCCTTGGAGCTATAACTGAAAGGTGGTGTGAAAATAAACAATGTTAATAAAAGAAAGAGATTCATGCTAAAATATGCTTGCTTCTTTGGCAGCAGATGATGGATTTATAAGCATTGATTTTGTACTTCCCTTTAGTGCGACATTTCAGGGGCAGCCTTTAGCAGAAGCTGCTTCCTGTTGAAAGGAACATATTGGACACTCAGGGTGTTTTCTTAACATTGGTTTATTTATGAATATATGCACTCTGAGTGGAAGTGGGTGAGAAGCAGACACAGTGACTGGGAGTCCTCGTTTTGAAAGAATACCAGTCCCTAAAAGGAACAGCAGGCCCTTTCAGCAGCTGCCCCAAAGTGTGTTTTGCCACTCGTCTGCAAAACCACAAATCCAAGTGCCAGGTGGTGTGAGGAGCATGGAAATCCAGGGACCGTATCTTTCAGCAATCAAATGCCTCAGTAAACAGGGACGTTTTGAAATTCCTCCTAAAAGTGTCACAACTGATGGACATGAAACAGTTACTGCAACAATCAATAAAAGCAACCCATCAATCAAAATAAAGTGGTGTATTAGAAATCACAGATTAACACACACACACACACACACACCAACAAACACAAACACAATAAATAGGCAGAGTATTCTTTTAAAATGACTTCTGCTGAAATGGAAAGGTCTTTTTCATCAAGCACCTGCGGTTCAACAGGGAAGGGGCCTGTCTGATCTTAGTTGGTCCACAGTACTGAACAAATAGCTCTTGTCAGATATGAGCGCTAAAAGAGAGCTCATCCGCACCCAACTTTTGCCCTGTGTTTTCTAGGCACAGGCCTCTGCTTTAAAGCTCTGTGTCTGAGAACTCCCTGCCCCCTACTTTCCCCAGGAAAACTTGCCTCTTTGCCACTGAATCGGAACCAATGGCAATTCGTATTTTCCATGGATTGCCATCTGTTCCGATTCAGCACTAAAGAGCAGGTTTCTGTGCGGAAATTGCCAGGGCAAAAAGGTGGGGAAAGTGCTTGGACAGAGCGTTTTAAAGCATGGGCCTGTGCCAGGTAACGCGACATGAAAAGAAGTCTGGATGAGATTGAGAGGCAGGAGCGGAGTTGCATTGCTAGTACAGGTCACCCGTTAGGTTGACCAAGTTGGATTTAGTTCCAAAATCAAGCCTGAACCCAGATTGAAATGAATCTGCTCTGCCACCGCTCTCCACCAACTCCACCAAGAACAGGGTATTTGTGACCAGGTGGCAGTTGTTAACAGCTGCAAGATCCAAGGTGGGCTTCTGCAGGAGTGCATACACTACCACCTGTTTAAGGGCAGGGGACTCACTTCATCACATGTTCACCACACTCTAGACCCACCCAGCCAATTGTCCCCTGTCCCCTAGACTGCCATTCGCCAGCCAGGATGGACAGGAATCAAGACAGCAAGGAGGTAGTCACTGGAGCAAGATGGTTGGCGCATATTACACCAATCCTGGGCCCATCACCTCCTGGCAAATAGAAGGGGAAGAAATGGAGGCAGTAGAGATTCTACTTTCTTGGGCTCCATGATCACTGCAGATGGTGACAGCAGTAACAAAATCAAAAGATGCCTGCTTCTTGGGAGAAAAGTGATGACAAACCTAGACAGCATCTTAAAAAGCAGAGACATCACCTTGCCAACAAAGGTCCGTATAGTTAAAGCCATGGTTTTCCCAGTAGTGATGTATGGAAGTGAGAGCTGGACCATAAAGAAGGCTGATCGCCAAAGAATTGATGCTTTTGAATTATGGTGCTGGAGGAGACTCTTGAGAGTCCCATGGACTGCAAGAAGATCAAACCTATCCATTCTTAAGGAGATCAGCCCTGAGTGCTCACTGGAAGGACAGATCCTGAAGCTGAGGCTCCAATACTTTGGCCACCTCATGAGAAGAGAAGACTCCCTGGAAAAGACCCTGATGTTGGGAAAGATGGAGGGCACAAGGAGAAGGGGACGACAGAGGACGAGATGGTTGGGTAGTGTTCTCGAAGCTACCAGCATGAGTCTGACCAAACTGCAGGAGGCAGTGGAAGACAGGAGTGCCTGGCGTGCTCTGGTCCATGGGGTCACGAAGAGTCGGACATGACTAAACGACTAAACAACAACACCACCAATCCTGGTCTAACTGCACTGGCTACCAATTAGTTTCCGGGCCCAATTCAAAGTGCTGGTTTTGACCTATAAAGCCTTAAATGTCTCAGGACCTCAGTACCTCAAGGACCGCCTCTTCCCATATGAACCTACCCGGACCCTGAGATCATTTTCTGAGGCTCTCCTTCGTGTGCCTCCTCCTCGAGATGTCCGGAGGGTGGCAACCCAAGAACGGGCTTCTCTGTAGTGGCTCCCCATCTGTGGAATGCTCTCTCCATTATACACCTTTCGGCACCAGGCAAAAACGTTCCTTTTTAACCAAGCCTTTGGTGGATCTTATTGACATCCAACACCCTTTTAGAATGTGGCTTTTTTGGAGGGGGGGGTTACTGGGTTATTGCATTTGGTTTGATTTTATTGCATTTAGTTTGATTTGGTTTGATTTTATATGTTGTGGTCCTGTTGTGAACTGCCCTGAGACCTCCATGTATAGGATGGTGTATAAGTTGAAATAATAATAATAATAATAATAATAATAATAATAATAATAATGGTCCCATCATTGCAAGTGCCCTGTTCACATCACCAAGCTGCATGAACTGAAATCGATCCCATCAAGTACGTGAAGGTGCTACTTTAGACATTGGGTCTGCAAGTCCTGCATCTCCCAGGGTGCTGCAGACTGGAGCAAATTTCTCCTGGAACTGCTGCAGAAATCGCTCACAGATGGCTGCCATGCACTCCAGTCTCATTGGTTTCTCACTGATTTTTTTTTTAAAAAATATTATTTTGTTCAGTGCTTTTTTCTGGGGGCTACTGAATGGTATGCAGTACCAGCACCTTTTTCCCCCTAGAAGAAAAGCACTGATTTTCAACTGTTTAATTTTGTAAGCTTCCCCGAGAAGAGAAATACTGAAGGGCAGGATATAATTCTCTTAAACAAACAAAGATAGGAAGGTAAACAGAGCAACTAGCCGTGCTGTTTGACTTTTAAGCACACAGAGTTTTCAGCTGGCTATGGTGGAGTGGGAACATGGCATCCAGGTCTGTTTCTGGAAGGATGTGATGAATTCATCCTCAGCTGTCAAGAGAGCGGATGGGAAAGGGATTCTGAACCCAGTGCTGCACTTTGTCCCTTTCTGACACATTCCCAGACTATTTCCTCTCCTTGTAGATAACGCTGGGAGGTTCCTTGCCACAGTTGAGCAGAGGCAGGAGATGTTAAATCCAGCATCCACCTCTGTGACTCTGGAGAGCCTCAGCCGCAGACAGAAGGTTCCCTTGCGAAGCCAAAGGGTCCATAATTCATCCCAACAACCAGGGGCTTCTTGGCCCTGCTCTGCTGCATCCTGTCTCCGAGGCACCAGAGGACATGGAGGCAAGATGCTCCCGGGTCCTGCGGCTGCCGGACTGGCAGCATTTACAGATGTCTGGCTGCCGAAACAGATCTTGTCGAGGGGCTTCCCTCGCCCCTGAACATTTTTGAATTGCACGAGACATATTTCATTTCTTTCGTCGTGCAGCCAGCCTCTGGAAAAACGAAGTCGTTAAAAACCAAATGTACTTTTCCCCCTGTGGCCGAAGGAGAACCAGACTCTCTGAACCGCGAGAGATGTTTCTTGTTGGGAGGTTTAGGAGGGAAACAGCAGACTCCAGGAATACAAGGGCAGATCTGTTTATGGACTAAGGGAGAGAGTCAGACCCTGACTCCTGTGCTGCTGAAACTGGGGCAAGGAACAAGGGGGCAGGAAGGAGAAGGTGGCCCATCATTTGTGGCCAAAGCATAATCTCCAATGTGCCCGGTCCAGGGAGGAATCTAGACATGGAACCCTTGGTAGAATCTATGGGAATGTCAAGAGTAATTTATCACTGAGAACGTACAAAATGACCCTGAGAATGAATGAAATCAGGGAGGAATCCAAAAGTGGATCTAGCCTTAATTGTTTCTATGTTTTGTTCAGATCATATCTTGTTCACCGATTTGATGGCTTGTGAAGAGGTCTATGAATTTAGTTCATCCTCATCATCTAGACTAGTTGGCATCCGTCTTTTCTTGGGATATTATGGAGGAGTGGGCCATTGGAGTGAAGTCAAACCATTGGAAGGTTGCAGCCAGGGATGCCAACTTGAATAAAATATGGGGGGGGGGAGGCAGGTAAGCACCGCCCCACATAATTGATCACATGATGCGGTGCACACACACCATTTGAATGGCAATGCCCATCATTAGGGGAGGGGCTGATCCCCTAAAATATTTTATTGGGGGGGGCGCGAAGACCCCTCGGCCCCTTGGAGTTGGCTCCTAAGGTTGCAGCACCTGCTGCGGCTGTAGAGACCGATACGGGAGAGACAGGTTATGTTGCAGCTGGGGGCATCCAGTTGTGCTGCTACAGATGCAGATCATCTGGACTGCTGTAATGCACTCTACACGGGACTGCCTTTAAAGATAGCGTGGAGACTTCAGCTGGTGCAGAACGTGGCTGCCCAGGTGCTTGCCGGAACTGTGTGCACAGGAACTGTCACACCAATACTGTTCCAGTTGTGCTGCTTACCAGTGGACTTCCAGGTCCTATTAAATTGCAGGTTTGACTTTGAAGGCCAGAAGCAGCTTGAGGCTGGGTTATCTCAACTGTTTGCATCATAGGGGCTGAGGCAGTTTTGGCCCTCTGAATGTATTTTTTGGAGAGGTAAGGCCCCCTCGATGTTCAGAGGGCATTCATCTCCAGCCCTCTGGCACCTTATAACACCAGGATTTTGCACGATGTTTTGTGTGTATGTGTGTGTGTGATGTTGCACCGGGCTCCCCCAGTCCTCTGGAGAAGCTGGCGCCTCTGGTCTGCATCCCTACCTGGACACACGCAGATGCGCCTCAGAGGTTCTGCTTGTTTTTCGCATCTGCAGATATTGCTGGAGTAGAACTCCAAAACTCACCCCTGACCATTAGCCATGCTGGCTGGGGGCTGCTGGGAACTGAAGTCCGGCATCATAGGAAGAGCTGCAGGTTCCCCGCTGAGGCTGTGCTGCTGTTGTTGTGCCAAGAATGCAGCTGAATGGGTGCTAAGGAGAGAGACTCATGCAACGTACCTACTTCATCTAGCCTGGTCTTAAGTGATGCAAGCCTGGTTGGCCTTCTGGACAGCAGTAGGCTATATCCCAGAGCCAAACTCTGAGGCTATGGCCTCAAGCACTAGATCAGTGTTTCCCAAACTTGGGTCTCCAGCTGTTTTTGGACCACAGCTCCCATCATTCGCAGGAACAGTGGTCAGGGATGATGAGTAGTCCAAAAACAGCAGCAAACTCAAGTTCGTGAAACACTGCTCTAAAGCCTATGGTTGCTCCATGTGACTGGCTGTGGGATCGCAGCAACAAAACCATCAGCCTGCCTAGAAGGATTGGCCCTGAGAGAGTCTGGCTGGCCTCAGAGAGTGCTAAGGCATGTCTTGTTCTCCCTTGGTGAGAGAAGGGAGGCCGACCAGGGCCAGGCCGGAGGAACTGAAGGAGTTAACTGAAGGCAGCTGCAACAGCAGCACCTGCGATGTGTGGCTTACACAACCTCCACACAGGAGGCCCCTGGCCAGGAAATCCTGTATTTCAGGTTGGGCTAGACTAAAAAAGAAGGCTGTCAAGGATATTTTCCCTCTGTCTGCTCAACTTCCCTCCCTAAAAAAAGTCTCTTGCGAAATCTGTGTGTTTGTGTAAAATAGAAGACTCCCCAAAGCCCTCACGCTTTCACCTTCAGGGCTGGCAGCCCAAGACATTTGAATGCCTCAGGAGAAAACCCAAATTGCAGGGGTCCCATCCCTTCCCTTCCCTTCTAGTTGACCCCATGGCTTGCACGCTACCTGCTGGCAACTTCCCTTCTATGACTGAAGAGAGCAGCCCCAGAGTTCCTCTTCTCAATGGGTCAGCCAACACAATAGAAGCTACGGGGAGGATGTCTCCATGCAGGCAGTGGTGGAGTGGCAAATTCAGAAGTGCAGGTTTGCGTCAGGATAGTCGCAGCCACGCCCCCTTCTATGATAACCTTATCCTTATGCAACAATCATAATTAGGGATGTAATGCAATGATCAATGCAGATCTGCCTTTCAGCTACATCTGCTATTCTCTGTGCAAATCATTTGAGGGACCACCATATCTTCTTTAGAAGTGACTAAATCTGTGCATTACCTGAAGTTCCGTTGTACATAATAGAACTTGCGCACCATTCTCTTGGAACTGAAACCACCCTTGTGGTTTCCACATTCCCAAATGCTTAGCTTCGGAGCACAGAGAGGCTTTAAAAGCAACCCTTTCATGCTTATTGGGTGATTCTAGGTTGATAGAGACCAAGGACCCTGCTGCAGATACTTTTCTGTGGTGGCTCCCCAATTGTGGAATGCTCTCCCCAGAGAGGCTCGCCTGGTGCCATCACTACATGTCTTTCAGCGCCAGGCAAAAGCATTCCTCTTTACCCAGGCTTATGGCTATTAAATCGTCTGTGGTCTGTGAAAGTGTGGGGCAGAGAGGATTGCTATGATGATGACTATTTTTTTAATTAGGCTGTCAGTCAGGGTGTTTTTTATTATGTTTTTATCACTGATGTTCTGTAGCATGTTTTTAATGTTATACGCTGCAGTGCCGGATTTACGTATAAGCTAAACAAGCTATAGCTTAGGGCCCTACTCTCTTGGGGGCCCCCCAAAAAAATTAAAGGAAAAAAACACCTGGATGTACATTTCCAAAATATAAGATAAAAAACAAATAAAATAAAACCTACATACAGCAACAGTGTTTTGTGTTGCGAAGGCTCCTATGATGTAAGTAATGGGCCCCGCCTGCTAGCCTGCTCCCAAAAATATTTGCTCGTTTCTATACATAGGGTGCCTACATTCTGCGTGGACTGGTTGCATGGCAACATGTGCAAATGGTTTTAGATACCTATCAGGTCCATAAATTACCATATAGCATATATTCAACACAAAATACAGTGAAAATTTGCTGTTGACACAGAGGGACATATAAAGGGCCCCATTACCTTCAGTAGCTTAGGGCCTCATCAAACCTAAATCTGGCCCTGACGCTGCTCTGGAATCTCTTGATAAAGGGTGGTATATCAGTTGAATGAATGGGTCTTTCACTTTCACACACACACACACACACACACACACTCTTACCTTGGCCCACTGCGTATGGGGCAACACCAGCAGCGCACTTCTTCCTCTTCCCTCTTCTCTGAAAGTGAGGACAAGGTGAGTCCCAAATACTGGCGGACTCTCCTCATCAACCTAGAAGCACACCAAACCGAGAAGGTAAGCCCTCTTCATGTCTTATTGTTCATGGGAACTGTCAGGCATCAGGGAATCCGATCCCCACACCGCATGGCAGGCTGCCAGGGATAGACAGCTTTGTGTCTTGTCTATGTGGACCAGCAGTGACTCTCCAGGGTTTTGGACAGGGAATCTCTCCCAGCCCTACCAGAAGATGCTGCCTGGAGGTTGAACCTAGGATCTTCCATATGAAAGGCAAATGTTCTACCACCACTGAGCTATGGCCTTCTTCTCTGGTGTGAAGGGTAGGCACTGTTGCTGGGGGGTGTCTTCATGTTAGAATTCCTGCTCCGTGATTGCAGTCATGGGATTGTTGTCTATCACATGATGGTATATGTTTTGATGGTATATGTTCCCACAAAGTGGGAAGTGACAGAGACAGGATGTTTGTGTTACTGTGTTCCGTGAAGTGGGACTATTGTCCTTTGTTTTTTCTCTTTGCTGTCTGATGCTAGAGAGAGAGGAGCCATGTTGCTGCGCTCCGTGTGTGTTTATATGTAAATAAAGTAGATTAGCCAAAATGCTGAGTTGCTGAGGTCTGTTACGCAAACTGCGAACACCCTGCGGATCCCTAAGTGTGCCGGTGTCAATTGGTATCGGTCGCTGTGATGTTCGGGCAGAAGAAAGCTTTTGAAGCTCCCGAACAAAAGACCAGGAGGGATAGAACATGCCAGTCGGGCATGTGTCTCTGCCAGGGTCCTACTCGAGTGTAGGATGAGCTCCTAACACTTCATACCCTCCAACATTTCGCCAATGAAAATAGGGACATCCTAAATAAATAAATAAATTCATTCTTTATACCCTACCCATTTGAGTGGGTTGCCCCAGCTAACCTGGGTGGCTTCCAACATACATAAAAACACAACAAAACATTAAACATTAAAAAGCTTCTCTATATACGGCTGCCTTTAGATGTCTTCTAAGGTTGTATGGTTACTTAACTTATCTCCTTGGCTTGGGTTGGGGGCGGGTTGCATATCTCCATACCCTCCAACATTTCTCCGATGGAAATAGGAATGTCCGAAGGAAAAGCCGGACATTCTGGGATCAAATCAGAAACCGGGACAGCTTCTGTAAATCCAGGACTGTCCCTGGAAAATAGGGGCACTTGGAGGGTCCGTGAGCATTTTGCTAGCTAGTAGTCATAATAACTTTCACAGATGCTGGGCTTAGGGCTCGATATCACCCCCCCAAAAAAAAACCATGCACACTCCTCAGGACCCGCCTTGCTTGGCATCTCACTCAACTCACTCAAGAGACATTTGCTGCCTCTGAAAAAAAATTATTTTGCATGCTTCTTTCTGGCCCAAAGTGTGGTACAGAAATGCAGTCAAAACTGGTGAAACAAAACACAACAAAACTAAACAAGTAGCAAGAAGTGCTTCCGTTAAGTTGCATAACAAAGAAAACTGATAAAAAAGGGAGAAAATAAGATAGTATTTTTTTAAAAAAAAAACACCACCCAAACAAACACGAAGCGTTTCTGAGAATGTGCTGCTCCGCCTCGCTCAAAATCTCCTTTTGTCAAAGCCTGACACTTCCCACGATGTCAGGAGCAAAGTCCTAGGCCCGCCAATCCCTTCTGGTTCACAGGAGGCTCGTGCTGGCAGAATTGCCTCTCTGACGTTTGGCAAAGGGCAATGCCTACGTGCAAACCTGCAGTGCCAGCCGCCGCTGAGGTCAGCGGCCCCCTTCCTTACAACTCAAACACACAGCCAGGAAGCTCTGGGGCTGGTGTCTCCTCCAGGTGAATGCAGGGGGGAAACCAAATGTGCAAAGCACACAGCCCCAGCCCCGCCATAGAAAGTGTTCCCTCCATGGTTGCTAGAAGATGAACTCATCCCTCTGTATCATAGCTGTCAACTTTTCCCTTTTCTTGTGAGGAATCCTATTCGGAATAAGGGAATTTCCCTTAAAAAAAGGGAAACGTTGACAGCTATGCTCTGTATCGGGGGTAGAGTACCAGATGGCATTGGACTCCAACTCCCATCAGCCCCACGATAGCACAGCCAGTTTCCCATCTCTCATCCTGTACTCACAGTCACCTGGCAAGTGGGTTGGCCATCCCGGTGCACTTTCATAAGCCCAGCCATAAGGGGATCCTGGCTGTTAAACTGTCTCCAACCCAAAGGGGCTTCACCTACTTACAGTGCAATCCTACACATGTCTGCTCAGCGGCAGTAAGAGTCCCATTGAGTTCAATGGGATTGCACCTATTATTGTTGACTAATCAATTAACTGATGGGATAACTGGTTGATTATTCAAGAAGCTACTTTTAAACCTTTGCGTATTACTAGGACCTCGGTAAGGGGGGCTTTTTCAGGACGCTGAAAAAAAATGTGGGATAATAAACAAAAGCGTTCCCTCCCTGCTGGGGTGCCAACTTGAATAAAATATTGCCAGGTAAGCTCTGCTCCATGCAATCAGTTACATGACATGGCACACACAAACCATTTGAACAGCAATGCCCATCAACTTTGGGGGGGACGACACCCTCTCAAATATTTTATTGGGGTGGCCGAAGGGATCTCGGCCCCTAGTAGTTGGCTCCCGTGCCTTACTGCTAAAAGTGAGGAAAGAATCATCTTAAATATTTTATTTTTCGTTCCCCAAAGGCACCAAAACCATAAGGCACCATAACCAGAATAATCTACAGCACTTTAGTTTATATTGTTAAGCTGATTAAAGTTTGAATTATTATTGTTTATTATTGTTTACTAAAAGGGAAACATAAAGGACCCCTGAACGGGAAAGTCCAGTCAAAGGCAACTATGGGGTTGCGGCGCTTATCTCACTTTCAGGCCTAGGGAGCCGATGTTTGTCCACAGACAGATTTCTGAGTCATGTGGCCAGCATGATTAAACCGCTTCTGGTGCAACGGAACACTGTGATGGAAACCAGAGTGCACGGAAACGCCGTTTACCTTCCCGCCACAGCGGTACCTATTTATCTACTTGCACTGGCATGCTTTTGAACTGCTAGGTTGGCAGGAGCTGGAACAGAGCAACGGCAGGTCACCCTGTCATGAGGATTCGAACCGCCAACCTTTTGATCAGCAAGCCCAAGAGGCTCAGTGGTTTAGATCACAGTGCCACCCATGTCCCTTATTGTTTACTAATAGTAGTAGTAGAGGTGGCAGCAGCAGCTATGCTAATTGTATGGTGCCCTTCAGTGTCCATGACATTTCACATGGTAACATAATGATAAAATAGCCCAAGTCCTGGCTTGAAGGAGCCTATACCAAAAGAGCCCCTCTGGACAGCCTTTTCATTGCACAGTCATGATAGTAGAATCATAGTTGTAGCGTTGGAAGGGGTCATGAGGGTCATCTAGTCCAACCCCTGGGGAAAGCAGGCAGGGAGGAAAGCGCTCAGACATGACTGGAAATCATAGGCCTGTGCCTAGAAAATGTGGAGGAAAATTAGTGTGAAAAAGCCCTGATGCCCAGCAGAAAACTTTCATTCAAGGCCACAGCAAGGATGAAAGCTAGGAGACCAGAGCTCCCTCTCTCTCTCTCTCTCTCTCTCTCTCATTGTCCCACTCCATAACCTGTTTCTTCTTTAGCCCTTGTTGCAGGGATTTCTTGTGGCATCACATGACTTAAACACTAGAAGCCTTGACTGGAGGAGGAAGGCCATTTCCTCTTGACAAAGGGTGGGACTGTTGGATCAAGTGACTATTAAACACCCCAAACTGCTCCAGGGGCAGGAGGGGAATTGAGAAACCAATTCCTGTTTGGCTCAGGACTCACACCTGCTTCCTAAAGGCATCTAATTGGAACCACCTTCTCAGCGTTTCAGAGTCTAGCCCAGATGCTGCCCTGGCGTCATCACCCAGCTCTTGGCAACGGGTGCAAGATTTCGAAGCTTGGCCACAGCAGAGCCAAGGAGGCAAAAGAACTACAAACCACATAATTTGGAATCTCCTCCAAACCTGTGCCAAAGTTTTGCAGGAGGGGGTTTTGCATCATTTTTTTGCAGCAAAAACCCCACATTTGATCAATTGCTCAGTTTGTGCGGTGCTGCAAAATGCAGGGTTTTTGCTGCAACAAAAAACAAAACAAAACAAAAACCCTGCAAAATTTTGGCACAGGTTTGCAGAGGATCCCAAATTTGGGGGTTTGTAGTTAATGGGACTGAACCAAGATTTTCGGCATGGTTTTGAGGCCACTCTTGTCTTTCATTGTATGCAGCAAACTGCTGTTCGGCTCAGTCACAGCCTCTCTGTCTGTGGTCCCCACTCTCAAAACTGACTTATGTTGGCAGAAGAAAGCATTTTATGTTTGAGAGACAAGGATGCAGGGAGTGTTTGTGCCGGGGTGGGGAAAACTTTTGAATTTATTTTCTGAGATGGTTCTTTTTACCCTCCCAAACACATACTAAATGGTCGGTGGTTTCTGCTTTTATTGGTTTTGGCTAGTGCACCTGGTCCTTTCGGAGCACATTTACCCCATTCAGGACCAGGGAATTCCCCACATCTGCTCCCCCCCACGAAATAGTAATTCTGTCTTGGGATTCAGTCTCAATCCGTTAATGGCCATCCACCCACTGGCGTACGAAGGGGGGCTGGGAAGTGTATCTCCCCAGGCACCATTTGGGGAAAGGGTGCCATTATGGCCGCCGCCCAGGACACGCGCTGCATCCCGCACAACCCTGTATGCGCGACACTTCCCCCCCATGGGTGACGGGACATGCCCCCGGGATGCACGCCAGCCATGTCCCTGCCTGTTCTCCGCTCCGGGGGCTGCAGCATGTTGCTCCACCACTGCATCCACCCCCCTCTGCCTCCAGACACCCAGACAAGATGTCCACCACCTTCACTGGTTCTGATTTAAACAAGAGGTAGATCTGGGTATCATCCACATGTTGGTGATCACGCAGCCCAAACCCCCGATGATCTCTCCCAGCAGCATGTTGAAAAGCATGGGGGAGAGGACAGAGCCCGGAGGCACCCCATAAGTGAGTGCCCAGAGGTCCAAACACTCTCACACACACCCCGACACCACTTTCTGGACACGGCCCAGGAGAAAGGAGCAGAAGCACTGCATAACAGTGCCCCTAGTTCCCATCTCCTCTAGACGGTCCAGAAGGAAACCATGGTTGATGGTATCAATGGTCGATGGTATATTAAGACGTCCCTGCCAACCTAGCAGTTTGAAAGCATGCCACTGCGGCGGGAAGGCAAACAGCATTTCTGTGCACTCTGGTTTCTGTCACTGTGTCCAATTGTGACAGAAGCGGGTTAGTCATGCTGGCCACATGACCTGAAAAGCTGTCTGTGGACAAATGCTGGCTCCCTCGGCCTGAAAGCGAGATGAGTGCCCTTTTTTTATATTAAGACGTGAAAACCTCTGTGGTAAACCAAGTTATGCATGATGCATTTAATGGCCATAAAGTCCTAAAATGACTTTGGATATGTGGTTTAAAGCACCCATACCCTGCAATTTCCATCTCCCCCTACCCTTCCCTCTTCAAAAAAAATTGAAAAAGAAAAAAACCTCTCTGTCAGCTGACGCCAGTGTGATGTAGTGGTTAGGAGCAATGGACTCGTAATCTGGTGAACCGGGTTCGATTCCCTGCTCCTCCACATTCAGCGCTGGGTGACTTTGGGCTAGTCACACTTCTTTGAAGTCTCTCAGCCCCACTCACCTCACAGAGTGTTTGTTGTGGGGGAGGAAGGGAAAGGAGATTGTTAGCTGCTTTGAGACTCCTTAGGGTAGTGATAAAGCGGGATAGCAAATCCAAACTCGTCTTCTTCTCTCTGAGTTGACGGATTTGAAGAGTTCCCTGAGGCTGTTCTGTAAGGTTCCATGCCCTGCCTACAGCCCTTATGGTTGGTCACTCAACTTTTCTATGAGCTCAGAGTGCTTCTGCATACCAATGGCCGGAAGCCAGAGGAGGGGAGAGGGCTCTTATGCTCTGGTCCAGCTTGTGGGGCTTCCTAGAAGAGGCACATCTACCTGTCCACTGTGAGAACAGGACTAGATGGGACATTGGGCAGATCCTGCAGAGCTCTTCTGATGTGCTTATTTCCATCTCGCCAACGTTGCCTTTTATGCTTCCCAAGAGAATCCCTCTCCTTTGCCCGGAGCCGTTTCTCCTGAGCTAGCGGCACCCAGCCTTGAAACTCATCTTTGCTCCGGGATGACTCAGACGCAAACGGCCTGTGGTGACATGGAGACGCAGCTCTTGGCAACGGCGCCATGTATCTTTTTACTGGGTCAAATGTTGTTCTGCATGGGTCTGACTCAGCCCCCGAGCGGGTACCGAATGCCAGTGGGAATCGTCAGCTCCTTACTCTAAAGCAAACATTGCTAAAATTAGAAAGCTGCAACCTCCCGCCTTAAACCAGCCTGATCCCTTTCGCGGCGGCGGCTGCAGAGCGAATGTGAGATCAGGCCTCCTGCATCACGTCATGTACGGGTTGGTGACTCAGATGCCCATTCATTGTCTCCCAAGCAGCCAAGTTTGCCTAATATGGAAGAGGAGGAAGGATCCACCCCCTTCTCCATCTTTCAGGCATCCTTTGGAACCTTATAGCCTCCGGCTAAACGTGAGGGCCTCCCTTAGTAAGGCAACTGGGAAGTGTGTGTACACTCAGGCACAGGAGGGGGAAGAAAGGCAACGTTATGTACTGAGTTGAATAGGATCCAAAATGCAGCAGTCTGATTGGTCCTAGAACAATAGGATTCAGAATGCAGCAGTCTGATTGGTCCTAGAACAATAGGATTCAGAATGCAGCAGTCTGATTGGTCCTAGAACAATAGGATTCAGAATGCAGCAGTCTGATTGGTCCTAGAACAATAGGATTCAGAATGTAGCAGTCTGATTGGTCCTAGAACAATAGGATCCAGAATGCAGCAGTCTGATTGGTCCACAGGAGCCACCCAATCCAACTCCGGGTGGAAGTGAATCCACAACCTGATTGGCCTACAGGAGAATCCCAGAATTAGTCAATCACGTGGGGCCCATTGTGTAAATAATGTATATAAAGCAGACATTTCAGGGGAACTTCCATTCCTCACTACTCTGAGCTGAATAAAGAGCATGAAATCCACACTCGAGTATATTTCAGGTAACCTCAGCAACCACGAAGTCTCTGGGTCTGCCAGTCTGGCTCTTCCTTGCTGGGTCCTCTGTTGAACTTCAGGTGCAGAAACTGACCTCAGGGATCCTGGACTAAGACTTCAGCGCTATGAAGCAGGCTGTCCCCAACAGCCTCTCAGAACACAGCATGAGGTCTCCCTGCTCATCAGGGCCATTTTGGCTTAGATTCCCCCCCCCCCCCCGCTGGAAAAATCTAAAATTCTTCTCTAGGAAGAAGCAGCCCTGAAAGCAGATAGGGCACCATCCATGTCTTCAGCTCAAAATGAGCTGGTTCATGTCTTCTCCCACATTTTCAGCATCCATTAAAAGTTAAAAAGCCACGTTCTTTTCATTCCGCAGGTATACTTCATAGAACCGCAGAATCGGAAGGGGCCCTTGAGGATCAGCTAGTCGACTTCCGGGGTGGCGCCATCGGCAATGGCGGACTCCCTCTGAACAGGAGGGACTAGCTCCGCGGGAAACGGGTCTTTTCCGCTACGGCGAAGCGGGGACCCTTTTAAAAATCACAGGCGGATGAAGCCTGTGACCATGGGACTCGGCGGGCACCTTTAGCGCCCCCCCCAACTCGCTAAGGAACCCACTAACGGGCTCCGAAGTGAAGAGGGGGAAGTGGCGCGGTGCTGTGAGTCAACTGCTATTTCCGGGGAGCGAAGCCGCATAGCCGTTGCCGAAGAGCGCTGCCTTTTTCCTGGGACAATTCGGACTCTAAAATAAGCACCCGTGAGTACTTAGACTTTGAACAACTGGACATTAGATAAGGACTTGCGAGCAGAAAGGAACTGGATTTTAAAAACCTATTTAAATTTGGTACGGAACGGGAAGGTTTAAACAGGAAGTCAGCCTTCCGTTCTTCTGTAGACAGAATAAAGCAAAGACAACGTAAACTAGAGCTTAGAAAATCGCCTTTAAAGGATTGGATTTCATCATTTAAAATTGTGGACCCCCCTTCGACAGCAGGAGAAGGAGGTGGATCTTTTCCGGACTGTTTAAAGTGAGTTTACAGTAAAGTAACTTTCCTCCGTCCTGATCCTGGAGCGGGGTGTCAGGACTGACGTTTGAAGTTCATTGACCAGAGACAAGCGTTCTTGACAGATAGCTAAAAGAAGAGAAACATAGCGATTCCACTGCTTCCCTTCGCATCTTTAAGCAACAAATATTGACAAAGTATCTCAAAAAGGGAAACTTTGTTGCAAGAACAAATAGAAGTTTTCCCCCTAGAGGGAGACTGTGTAACTGTAACCAACTCCAGGGAGCCGGCAGCTGTTACAGATAACAATCCTGGGAACAGGCATTTGACCTTGCAGGACAATGTATTCAGAAGCTTTGTTGTGGGCTTTCTATAAAACAAATGCCCTACTGGAACAATTACATGAAAAGGTGAATTGGATGACGACTTCGACTAGAAATTTTGAACAGGCAGTGGGAAATTTTGAACAGACAGTGGGAAAATATGTGGAGCCCACTCAGGAATTAAATCAGGAGTGTGTCCTGACAGAACAGGCCCAACAGGAATATGAGTTTTCGGATTTGACAAATGAACTTGGAAAAAGCCAGATTTGGAAAGAAAAAGTTTGGTTTGTCTTGGAAATGGGGGCCTGGGTTGACCCCCCTATGCTGGGATGTTTGAACTTTTCAAATCTGGCAATGGGCCGTGAGATGTTTGGGATTGTGGGGGCTCTTAATTTTGGAGGGTCTTTGAAACATGCTTTTAAATACCATATGGAATTCAGTGCTGAATATGGAAAAGGGGCTGACCTGTCAAGAAGGGTTAAAAATATTGCCAAGCTGGAGTTACCACGAGCAGGAGACAAGGGAAAATACAATTACAAATATGAAGAAGAGCTGCGAAAGGGACATGGAAGAGACTTAAGGGCCTCGGATATAAGGTTGCCAGGTTAATGGGCCAGATCGATGGGATAATAAGGACTGACAAAACCCGGAACCAGGAGGAAGGGACGTTGGATGAAGATTGGATTTGTTTGTATTTCTTTTTTCTACCATTAGAACTGTTTTATAAAATTGATGAATGTTAGAAAAATGTTGGAATGAAATTACTTGGCTTTAGTAAAGATGTTTAAAGAATTATGAAAGAATATTATGGTTATGAGAAGTTGGTAAGGATAAGATTTAAGTTTCAAGCTTTAAGGTTTATTTTATTATAGAAAGATAAGATTAAAACAGTTTAGGGTAATGTAATGACAGAATATTATGAAATATGGGAAGGATTTGCTGGGATAATTAATAACTAGGATACAAAGAAAGGGAGGAGGAGGAGTTCAAAGAAAGAAGGTAATGACAGTTGAGGATTTGAGAATAATGAATTTGTTTTTAAATGTTTTTTAATTGTGTGTGATGTATTTCTGTGTTTTCTTTTTTTTTCTTTTTTTGTCACTTTTTCTTATCTTTGAATTTGTATTCATACGGTTGGAAGGGGTTTTTTTTTCTTTTTCTACTTTGTTAATTATTTTTATTTTGTATTTTCTACTGCTTTTATTTTATTTGGTAACACTCTGAAAATTTCAATAAATATCTTATAAAAAAAAAAAAGAGGATCATCTAGTCAAGTAGAATTGGGACTAGGGGATTATCTGAAAAACGAAACCATTCTGGTAGCCCTACCAGAAATGATCCATCGAAAATCCGTGTAGGCAGAAGGGAGAGTGAGTCACTTCCTCGCCTAGCCATGCCTGCCTTCCTGTCACTCAAGTGAAGGAGCAAAATTCCAGTTTCTAACCATGACTCATAAGGAGGCCAGGAAAGGGTCTAGAGCAAACAAACGCATTCGGGATGGAGTGGTAATGAGGACTGATGAGTGAGCAAGGTTGGCAAGTCTCCTGGTGCACAGGGCTGCAGCCGTAGCGTGAAAAGAGACAGGCAGAGCTCTTCCTTCAGGACCTGCAACACACTTACCGGTAGTGCAGCCCACACCACAGCCCACCTTCTTCCTCCTCTTCCTGCACTTCAGCGAAAAGATATCACTGCTTTGCCGGAAGGGACTTCAGCACCTTTGCACATCTGCAACCTTAGCACCAAGCCCTGCTTATTAAAAGGAGAAGCAGAGAGGGTGAGAGGGAGAGAGAGAGAGAGAGAGAGAGAGAGAGAGAGAGAGAGATTGTGCTGAACTGCATTCAACTCTCCATCAGGTTTTGGATACTCTGGTGAAATATACTCGGAGTCGAGTGTGGATTTCATGCTCTTTATTCAGCTCAGAGTAGGTTACAGACTCCACTAACCCAGAAATGGTACCTCGGGTTAAGAACTTTGCTTCAGGGTGAGAACAGAAATCGCATGGCAGCAGTGGGAGGCCCCATTGGCTAAAGTGGTACCTCAGGTTAAGAACAGTTTCAGGTTAAAGAATGGACCTCCAGAACAAATTAAGTTCTTAACCCGAGGTACCACTGTACTCCTTATTTCATTCCATTCATGAATTTATTCCTATAAAATATATCGAAGTGATTTAACAATAACAACAGCCACAACATCCTATGTAAAAAATCAATTGCATCCATTTCATTAGCAAAAAACGAGTTTGAATCCAATACAGATGCAGACTGGGAGGAAAACTGCCCCTAAAAAAGGCTTGTTGAAAAAAGGAAGGTTTTCAATAGGCACTGAAAAGATGGTGGCTACCTGATGTATAGTGGGACGGAGCTCCATTTTTTTGTGGCAGATTTGTTGCACCAGGGCAACAGAGCACTTTAATCCACTTCAACTGTGTAAACCGCAAGTTACGGAATGCTCCGGAATCCCTCCTGCAAAACAGAGCCAGTCCCAATGTCTGCAACAGTTTGGTTAACCCACAAAGATTCACAGGCAGGTGGATGATTCACAGACCGAGCGATGTTGTGTCCATCACTGCTGTCTGTTCTGGAAACTGAACAGCAGCCAAAACTCCAGGCCAGAAAAGGGTGCATGCAGATGTGAAAGTCATCCTTGGTAGGATGTGAGAGTCCCCAAAATATTTTTGCCTGGCCTTTGCCAGGAGGGAAAAAAATATCCCTGGACAATTTACTCAGCGGTAAATTTACTGACCTGGTCTTCTCCTGCACTTTGGTTCATCATAGCAAGTGGTACAGGGTTTGATGATAGCTGCTTTGATTCACAGCTGCTTTTAAACTATTACAGTGGTACCTCGGGTTAAGTACTTAATTCGTTCTGGAGGTCCGTTCTTAACTTGAAACTGTTCTTGCCCTGAAGCACCACTTTAGCTAATGGGGCCTCCTGCTGCTGACGCGATTTCTGTTCTCATCCTGAAGCAAAGTTCTTAACCCGAGGTACTATTTCTGGGTTTGCGGAGTCTGTAACTTGAAGCGTATGTAACCCGAGGTACCACTGTATTTTGAACAGCCATCCATGAGTATTCACTTTGTTTAGCTGACCGGAAAAACGACTGGCTGAAATTGCTTCTAGGAGAGCATTTAATCAAGGGGAAAAGATGGTTGAGATTTGCTTTCTAATCTCCTCATATCATGTCCCCTTCCTTGCTTCCACCAAAAAACCCTTAGGGAAATTGTAGTTGCCTTTCTACAGCTTTGCAGTTCAAATGGCTTTTCCCCCCAAGTGGGGACATTAGGTCACCTGTTGCAGGCATTGGAGGGAATTCTATATGGGGTCTTCTCCAGCCCCCTCCCCATTTGGCACAGCTGGAGAAACAGGCCCCTAATCCTGTTTTTATGTGTCAAAAGAGCTCAGAATCCAGGGTGGGCAGGCAGGCAAGCAGTGCACCCTGACCCGGTTGGAAGGGCTGCCAGAGCATTAATCTACTACCTGACACCTCAGCTGACTTCTTAGAAAGGCAAACAAAGCCAGAAGTGGTGGGGGTGGAAGGGGGTGGGGACGGGGCCCAGTCTGATGTCTCTTGCAGGAGGAGGAATCTTGGCCAGAGGTGAATAGCAGGATTTAAAACAACAACAACACGCACAGAGAGAAAAGGCAGAAATAGGAACCCTTTGCTCCCAGCAGAGAAGGCATCGCTGACCTCTGGCTTCCTGTTTGGTTGCAGACCAAAATAAGTAAACATTGCACTGAATGGGGCTGCTGGGAACAATTGGCCACATTGTGTGGCCCCCACCCCGTTTTTCCTGGTGAAATGAATAGCTGTGCTTTGGTGGGGGTGGCGTTCAGGAGAGAGAGAATCTTGGCTAGTCCCATTTGGTTAGGATTGGAGTCCGAAGCAAAAGCCAAAGGTGGCTGGAAGCCACAGGAGGGGAGAGTGCTGCTCCAGCCCTCCAAGTGCCCCTATTTTCCAGGGACAGTCCCAGATTTACTGAAGGTGTCCCGGTTTCTGATTTGATCCCAGAATGTACCGCTTTTCCTTAGGCTGTCCCTATTTTCATCAGATAAATGTTGGAGGGTATGGAGTTATGAAACCCCCCAAGCCAAGAAGATATGTAACCAAACCACCTTTAGAAGACATCTGAGGGCAGACCTGTATGGGGAAGTTTTTCAATGTTTAATGCTTTTATATATGTTGGAAGCCGCCCAGAATGGCTGGGGCAACCCAGTTAGATGGGTGGGTAGAGAGAGGGAGCATGGCATTGGACCTGGGGTCCCCGTCCCCCCCGCTTTTTGCTCCTGTGCCCCTTAGAGAGCCAGTGTGGTGTAGTGGTTAAGAACGATAGACTCGTAATCTGGTGAAACGGGTTTGCGACTCTGCTCCTCCACATGCAGCTGCTGGGTGACCTTGGGCCAGTCACACTTCTCTGAAGTCTCTCAGCCCCACTCACCTCACAGAGTGTTTGTTGTGGGGGAGGAAGGGAAAGGAGAATGTTAGCTGCTTTGAGACTCCTTCGGGTAGTGATAAAGCAGGATATCAAATCCAAACACTTCTTGGTTCGAACTGTAGCAGGAACCCCCCACCCCAATCATTCAGTTTGTACAAACTTCACACACTCACACTCACACACTACATATGCCACACTTCTGTTATAAATTCATAGAAAAATCAACCATACATCGGATTTGCACTGTTCCATTTTTATTTTACTCCATATGACAAGGACTATCAAAGGGGGGTGGCTTGGTTCTGGTCAGCCATAATCCCTTCACCATCCCAGCACATCCACAGGAGCCCTGCCCAGTTGCTATGCCAACCCTGATGGTCCTAGACAGAAGACCATCAAGATCACAAAGAACTTGCATATGGGAGTGGATTCAGCATGGACTGAAACAAAGGACAATGATCAGATCTTCCCTCTGGGGGCAGGAAACTGCCAACTCCCCTTTGTCTCCTGGAAGTGACTCATGGGGAGGGGAAAGGAGGAACCAGCCAGGTGACAGGACACTCAGGTTACCACCACAACTCCTCCCTCAACCCCTCCTTTCTGTAATGTATGCATGATGTTTCTGGGGGTGGGCTTGACCTAGAGGATGGGAATTTCAAAAGTTTTTATAAGGTCTTGCACACCATCTTTCTGGGTCTTTCCTCTCTCCTGCAAGTGAGGGGAACACCCTGTTGCAACAGTTCAATAAAGGCCAAGCCTACAGGCTGCTGTTTTGCTCCAAGTTATCCTGGTTGGTGTCTTTGTTTTTGTCCAAGGGAGCCCTCGGATTTTTCCGGTAACAGAACCAGCACTTTAAAATGGGCTCAGAAACAGACTGTGATCCTGTCTGTTTTGCTGGTTATGCAAAAGAGCAGAGCAAGTTTTGCAAAGGTTCTTCTGACTCTTTCATCAAATTCAGCCTGCTTCTGTAGTGGGTGGTGAGATGGGGCAAGGAAGGAGCTATAAAGGCCCCCCGAGGGAAATCTGACAGCTGGAAAATTGACAACCCCCACCTCCCCACAACCTCCAGCTTCTGGGATCTCAGCAATCATTAGGCAATAGCCAGGCAGCTTCAGACTTTATGGCATCCTTGAAGGCCCCAATATTGATATGAGAGGGAGAGGGGGTGGGGACGGCTGCTGGTGTTTTGGAAAAAGAATCCTGTGCCCTTGGTGACCTCCAAGTGGGAAGCTTGAGAGGAGAGCAGGCGCTTGATACTTTTGACTGGCCTGATTCAAAGTTGAATTAATATGTGAAACCCAAGCCTGGATATGACTCTGCTAAGCTATCATCAGAGAATCATGACTCCTCTAGCTATTGCGTTCCACAGCGATCCTCTGTTTCCCCTGCTCCTCCTCCCCAAGTTCGCTTTTTTATATTCTTTACTGAAAAATAAAACAAGTACAAAATTACAGGGGCACAGAGTAAGATAAGACACAAAAAGGAAGAAACAGGAAATAGTACCTATGCAGAAAACAAAACAAAGATATTTTGTACATTACAGTGGTACCTTGGGTAGAAACACCTTGGGTTACAAACACTTCGGGTTACAGACTCCGCTAACCCAGTAGTAGTACCTCGGGTTAAGAACTTTACCTCAGGATGAGAACAGAAATCGCATGGCGGCAGCAGGAGGCCCCATTAGCTAAAGTGGTACCTCAGGTTAAGAACAGTTTCAAGTTAAGAACGGACCTCCAGAACAAATTAAGTACATAACCAGAGGTACCACTGTACAAAAAAGGTGGTGGCGGGGGAATTGTTATTGTAGTTAACCAGACCTTAAACTAATATGGTATGTATTTTTTAAAAATAAAAATTCTTTTTTGGCAGGAGGTCCTGGGACCTTCTGCATGCTCTCCCCATGGGCTGAAGCCCTTTCTAGGATTTCGCTTCCAGCAAGGGATCTGAGAGGTTTAGCACTGTGGAAGCCTGAGAACAGCGCTAGACATGGAATATGCCAGGAAGGGCCTTGGAGGAATTGCTTTGAGGTCAGCAGATTTTAATCTGTTATTTGTTACAACACTGGAGCTTTAGCAAGCTTAGCCAGTGTGTCTTATTTATATTGGCAGCTCCAAAGATAACAGAAGGGTGAGGAAACTGTGAACAAGGCATCTGCAAAGAAACTCCACCCCGTACCATGAAATGGACATTTTATCAGTTCTCAGAAGTTCCCTGCTCAGGTAAGGGACAGGAACCTTGAATCACCCCCTGCAGCATTGTGTGTGTGTGTTTACTGCACATGAGTTTACTCTGTGTGTGGCCTATAAGCAGATAATGCACCTTCACCACCACCGCCACCCTCCCCCCGCCACCCCCAGGAAGCAATTATGCAAGCGCCTTCTGCAGGGTAAACTCTCAAATGAAATCCACTAATGTGCACCTGTCATTACATAAGCTCTCGCCCATTCAAGATGTGTGACTCATTATCCCCTAATTAAAAACAATCAGGTTCCTTCATTTTCATTCCCCCTCATAAGTAAATTTAAGTGAAGTACATGTCTTCTGTGGCTAACCAAAAAGAGAGAGGGAGAGAGCTGTAATTAGCAGGGCGCCATTGGAGGCACTTGAGCTCTTTGAATTGAGTTTGGTGCTGGAAGAGGTGATGAGCCAGCCTTGCTGCCACGGCTGCCGCCTCCACGTGGCGTGGACCTCTCTGAGCCTTGAAGTTGGCAGCAGCCTCTTTCCAAGGGCGGAAGCACACTTTGCTTTTTTAAATGCTGCCTTTGAAGGAACTCCAGTGCGGATTATTATCAGGCAATCCTCAAGGGCTGACGAATGCTGGCTCCTTCTAGAAGGTGGCTCCTTGCCCAGTGAGACACCATGGCATTTAGGGGAACGGCAGCTGTTGTGAATAAAGAGGGACTGGATACTATTTTAATTATATTTAGGCATTCTATCTTGAGAGCCCAATGCAGGCAGAATGGTGAGACAATAATAATAATAATCTCAAGTGATTTAAACTGGGCTGCAGGTCTGCAGGTCTCAAAGCAAAACGGGGTGCTGATCAAAGGTAGTCCCATGTAGAGTGCATTGCAGCAGTCCAAGTGGGAGATAACCAGAGCATGCACTACTCTGGCGAGACAGTCTGCGAGCAGGTAGGGTCTCAGCCAGTGTACCAGATGGAGCTGGTAGACAGCTGCCCTGGACACAGAATTGACCTGTGCCTTTAAGCCAGGCCTGTCCAAAGTCCGGCCCGGGGCCTAATCCAGCCTGCTGTTTGTTTTAATCCGGCCCCTGTGGCAGTTTATTTCCTGGGGTAAAATCCTAAAAGAAGCTCAACAACTTTGGTTGGCCCTCACACATGTTCACGTCATCAAATCTGGCCCTCTTTGGAAAAAGTTTGGACACCTCTGCTTTAAGCAAAATGTCAGTGTGTAACTGATACAGAGTTTACATCTGCTTAAAGCTACAGTTGCATAGAACTAAACTAGGGCGGGGAATCGGTTTGGGGCTGATGCCTTATCCCAATGAAAAGTTGTTGCAGACCCTCCAAGTTTCCCTATTTTCCAGGGATGTCCCTGATTTAGAGAAGCCATCCCACTGTCTGATTTGATCCTGGAATGTCCCACTTTTCCTTAGGGTATTTTCACTGGGGAAATGTTGGAGGGTATGGAGTTATGTGACCCCCGGGTCGTCTGAAGGCAATGTGATATTGGGAAGTGTTTTTTTTTAAAAAAATGTTTAATGTTTTATTATGTTTTTATATATGTTGGAAGCTGCCCAGAGTGGCTGGAGCAACCCAGTAAGATGTGTGGGGTATAAATAGTAAAATTATCCTTATGGAATGGGACATTCCTATTTTCATCAGAGAATTGTTGGAGGGTATGTTGTTGGAAGCTGCGGTTCCACTGAACTGGCAAAAAACTAACAGC